AACATAGTGGCCTACAGAATAGTAAGATATTTAGTACTTGTTTTCTGAACCTTTAGTTCAGTTCATCTTTCGGTTCCTTTCTTAAACCTCATAAACATGTATACAAAAGGGGTAGTAGAAGTAAACACAGAACTGAGTGGATGTCAAAGGGCGTGCTTCGAATGAAGCGGAGGGCAAACGGCTTTTGACGCCATTGTTACTATGTCTAAGGGGTTTTGCTTCTCCATTGCTGTTATACGCTCTTCTGATCGAAATTCCACCATTACACGTGTTACACGTTCCTTTGATCAAAATTTACCCATTAACCCCTAAGTAGCTTATTGAGATAGTGTTGTGCCGTCCATGCTTTGTGTATTTATTACTCGAATTCCACGTAAGTGTGATAAGGCGGCCGCACTCGCAAAATGGAGCGGTCTCACGCCGCCAAAGAAGGCAAAAACGCGCTTTTTCGTCGACGTGTTAACCCTATTTTGCATATTGCAGCTGAAGGAAAACTATGAAAGCGAAGGGAAAGTTGAAAATATTTGCTTTCTTTAAGCAACTGGAGTAAGGCGCCTATCAATTTTATCTGGCATCCCTTATATGCACCATAAATTTTTGACAGCATCTGCGTCAACGGAGAGGAAAAGAAAAACTCGTGTAGCAGCAATCACGTAGGAGAGTGCTTTTATAGTCCTCGTATAAATATTCAATAGATAAAAATCTTGCCACATTTCAGCATTCACTGGCCAAGGCAAGAGCCATTGGAAAATTTTCCCCTTCTTTGAAGAACAAATCATAAATCTGATGCCCGAATTAAAAACGACAATGGATAGTCGGACGCGCAAACTGGCATAGATACAGTCTGTACAGCTCATCACCCAGCCGTTTCTTTAAATGAAGTAAACATCAAACAAATACAGTAGGAATGGAAGAAAAAGGAACGCACACCAATCAATGTAAGCGAACAAACACGAGAAAAAAACCAGTACAGAAGAGAAAAGAAGTGAGAAACAAAAGATTATAGAAAACACACCTGAACGTGTCACCTCTTCTGTCCTTGAAGTACAAATAGCCGAGTTTATCCCAATATAGAATGTCACCACTGGCGAAAACCTAGATATTACCAGCTTGTCACCTCTACACATTTACTGTTGATAGATAAATTATTAAATAAATCAAATGCAGGCTAAATCGAACACTTATTTAAAGGGTGGCTACAAATTATTCAGGAGTGAAGCAATTGTTAGACGGAGAAAATCTAACCTGATCACCATGCGCAAACACGTCACGATAAATTTTCTTCTCGGTATCGCCTTTGTCCACGTAGCCTTCAAACTTCAAGAGTAGATCCTTCCTTTTGATCACACCGACCATTTCTCCAAGTTCACCAGGACGACAAGGTACACACAGGCCTTTCTGCAATGGCACATAATTTATACTACCGTGACTGCATGACACAAACGAGAAACATCATCCTTACAGCATCACGAATCAGTTCACCGGTCTCCTGATCGACTTTGATAAGACGGACGGGATAAAGACCTCCAATATGCGGATAGATCGGGAAGAAACCACACGATCCAACATGGTTGTCAATATTCACTATAAACAATACAGCATTCTGACTGAAGGTATATTACAACATTACACTCTTCTAGTGAGAAGGGCTGATCATCTGAAGAAGGGCGACTCCTAACGAGACAGCATGAGAAGCTAGGACATAGCAGAACAATAATAAATCATATCAAGAGGTTAAGGATCTAGGGTCAAATGTGCTTCGCGAAATTTGGGACAAGTCGGCATCATTGACACGCTGGCAAGATAAAGGGCGGAGTCAGCACTAGATAGAGCAGAGGCAGTCGTTCCTACAGAAAAATGGAACTGGATCAAAGGGTTCCAAAAAGGGTCATTGCCCGAAATCAGAGTGGAATTTCACGTAACGTATGTAGTCAGCCAGGCTCGACTTCCTCATACACAACTAAAATCACATCAACTGGCCATCACGATTCATTGTGCAGGCATTTTGATGCTCAATTGTCAATGAAGAGGGAAGGAAGTCGAAAGTGGGGCGCACCCAGAACTAGATTGATGCTTAAGACTCGCGACGAGCAAGAAATAGTTATTTGGGCAATTTCTCGCTAGGAGACTGTGCAGACAATCTACAACAGCTTAAACAGTTATGGACCGCACCAGTGATTTAGTGGTCTGACAAGGGAAGGATACCAAGTCGAAGTGGCCATCCGTAATGAAACCTATACTCAGAGATGTGTTTTCGGACGCTGATCTCGAATCCACTCTCCAAATTTGCGAAACGATTCTCTGAAAAGTGTTACGGAGGTTGTTTCGAATGAAAGCCCACTGTAAGAGACTCCGGCAGAGCTCGGCTTCCAGCGGCGGCTTGGCCGAGTGGTAGTGTTGGCGGCTTCCAGTGGTAAGACCATGGATGGGATCTTGCTGGGCATGATTTTTTGCTTTTTGTAATTAGGTCTAATTTAAATATAAAAAATTATTCAGTGTTGAAATTTTCACTGCGTCCAAAGCTAACGCATGTTTAGAGGGGTTTGTTTAACGCATTCCACTTTTTTCGTAATGTTTCGGCCGGGGTGTTTCTACGCCACGGACGTATATCCGACGATGGGCTAAACAAATGGGAGATGCTTGCTCAACGGACCAAACTATCTTTGAAGGCTTAATTCTAGAAAGCTGACATTTGGACCCAATTTCGAAACTCGGTCTACAATGAGTCGTAGGTGTTATCCCTAGCCCCAGCCACTACCCTCCTGCTCCTCCTGGGCAGCGAGCGTGTACATGAAAAAATATCATATTAATCTTCGGATGGCACGAGCAAGTAGAGCAGGCAACTATATCTCTTTCACAATAATGACTGAAAGTTTAATTCAATCCCACGATCAGGCTCTGACAGTGGGTTGATGGATAGATGACTGCCCACATTTTCGACTTCAAGTCAAAATTTTAGATTTGGACCAAATGTTGTTGAAAGGGGTGTTTCGACGCGCTGAACACGAATATCGCATCTGCTTGGCACGAAATTGCCTTACGCGTGCGCTACGGGTGTCAGAGGCGGTCACTTGCAAATGACGCGCACAGTGCTCGAAGCTCTTCGCCAGCTCTGTTTACTTGTGCTATAGGCAATCGCTGATAACTTAGCATGGATAAGAGTCCCTTAAACAACGTTCACAAGAAAAGCAAAAGTGAGAACTCGCCAAGAACTCGATCTCACGACCTCTCGTTCGTCGGCCGGGCCGCTGCCACTGCACTATCTCGCTTCATAACTACGTTCAGAGAATCGTTTCGCAGATTTGGAGAGCAGATTCGAGATCAGCGTCCAAAAACACATCTAGTGGTGTATGTCTCGTTACAAATGGCCACTTCGACCTGGTATCCTTCCCTTGTGAGAGAGAGAGAATAATAACGAAATTTTGACTATCAAAAGCGATATATTCGCGTATTCAGGAAATTCAAATCAGGAACGGGGAAAATCTTAGATTTACTTCTAAGTTTGACATTCAGGAGATGCAAGTTTAGCAACGTTGAAGCCTACTTACAGTTTGCAAAACGTTCGTATTTCATGGATAAAAATGTTACGCGTAGTGCAGATGTTTATGAGAGCGATCGAGAAAGCGGACGTCTGGAAATCTGCCAAACCGTCAACCCAAACGGGCTGGGGTGAGGGGGAGACAGCAAGTTGTGCAGGAGAATCGTTTTGAGAAGGCCAAAAAAGGACATGTTGAAGTAGCGAAATTGTTATTGCGGGTATGAAACTTTGAGATAGCAGAAGTGAAAACTCAAAGAGCGGGTGAAAACTGAAACCTTGTCACAGCGGAATAGATCGGGTGAGAAGGTGAGAGAAAGCGAACATCATCGCATTAAGCTTTGTAAATCATCCCATAACATTGTTATGTCTAGCGACAGCTGCCCGCTCTTTGATGTTCACGCAGAGTTATTAAGGAGACGCGGAGACGTGAAGTTCAATTTCAAGCCCCGAGAAATTGGATCTGGAAACAGGAGAAAAAGTACTGTGTCTTAAAGAAAAAAGGTTATATACGATTTATACTGACGCTAATGGGGCACAAGGAAATGATTAAAGGAAGCTGGACACTAGTCATTTGGTCCTCTCTCCAACCTGGTTCGTAATAACTTCGTATAGCATACTCACTTGGTCACACTGACGCGCTAGCAACGTGCTAAATCCTAGTCGGGCATCTAAAAAAAAGAACATCGATCTTACTCACCGATGTTGGAATTGCCTTCGGTAGAGCCATAGAGTTCACCAATTCGTTGAATCCCAAATCTTGACACAAATTCATTCCAGATCTCAGCGCGAAGCCCATTACCCCACATGAGACGAACCCGATGTTTCTTTTCTTCTTCGCAAGGTTTCTGGGCCAGGAGGTACCTGAAGTGCAAAAACTGAGCCAAACCCCATTTTGAACTCCGGGATTACTTACGTAAGTACTTTCAAAAACAAGAAGAAAACTAACCTGCAGATTTCGCCAATATATTGACTTGCCGTACAATTGTATTTTACACAATCCTTCCAAAAGTTGCTGGCCGAGAACTTCTTACGAATCACCGCCGTAGTTCCGTACACGATTACCGAGCCAATTCCTGGAAAGGAAAATAGTACTAATTCCTAAATGTCTAACTCATAGTTGTTAAAAAAAACGAAATAAATCCCAAAAATTGTGCACAAACTCTAAAAAAGTGTCTGACATGACAGTGAAAGTTCCCGGATGATAGCATATAAAATCGCTACCCTGCTATCAATCACAATCATTCTCGAGTAAAAATGCTTAAAAATCAAATAAAAAAAATACTTCTCTTGCACCACTACACAAATCCTGTTCTAGGCTAGAAAAACTTTGACTAATAAATTGTGACGTTCAGAACAGCAGGTTCTTTCTTCACACCACTCGTGGCCCACCTTCCCAATTCTCAGCCAACTTTTAGGGCAAGGTCAGCTCATTTTCACCAAAATGGGCCACCTCTTCATGCGATGCCACGAATTGTGACAAGTGTACCACGAAATCCTGACTGAGACGGGATGCTGTTGCAAACACATACTTGCGGTGGCTACGCTAGCGACCTACTTAACATATACAAAAAACAAACACTACACGGTAAACGCGAAGAGCAGTAAATAAAAATATTTATGTGAAAAATGTGTCCATAGTCCCACCATTCCAACTTTACAGCAAATTGTTTCACTATTAACTCAAAGCTTTAATGCAGTCATTACAATAGCTGGAGGGTGGGGCGGTTTTGATGACTTCATTGGTGGACCAGCTGCTCAATGGAGCCTAATAACGTCATCAAAACCGCTCCACCCTCCAGCTAACGCGTTCACTAACTTTACCGACACCTAAAACCGGCAGGAGAAAGACTACAAAATTTCAAAAAACCTACCCATGATCCCTGCAGCAGAGTGATACAAGGGCATTGTAATGTAGACCACATCGTCATCTACGATATCAAACGCTTTACCAGCTCCCATAGCCATGAAGTAGTAGCTGTAAAGGTAATCATTTAAGTTTTCCAACACAATCTGCAAATCCTTCACCAATCATGGTCACCACAAATCACGAGTGTGGTTCGCTAGGACAGAAAGTAATTCTTGCGATTCTCGCAGAGCGAAACTTTTTCGCTGCGGGACCCTCGATCCACCCTGATTAACAGTAGACCTGAGCTCCCGCAGCACAAAGTTTCGCGCTGCGAACGGATAAAAAGTCGCTTTCTCTCCTAGCAACCCACACCCACACATCAGAATACCAATATCCAATTAGGAAACCAAGTGTGAAAACCCGGCTTAAGCTACTAGAGTGTGACACTCAACAGCCCCATTTCGTGCAATTACCATTCAACTTCAATGAGTTAGTTGCATGGACATTCAGATCGAGTCAATCACTCAGTCCATTATTGTCACCCATCAACAGAACGCAAAAAAAAACCCGACTA